CCAATGTAAGACCAAAAAAAAAAGTGTGTGTGTTGGGGGGCTGGATGCATCTTAAGATGTTGTTCACTGAAGGAACTGCAAGAAAATCCATCCATCCATTTTCCGTCGCGCTTTATTCCTGCTGGGGTCTGCAAGAAGATGCTTGAATTTAAATGGTTTTCTATCTTTAAATTGGTATCTGATAAAGAGATAAAAATATAAATGAAATGAGTGTGTTCAGTTGATAATCAATTTTTACCGATCAGACCTGATTCTTACAAACTGATTGTACAAGAATAATTGTTTTTTGTGAAAACATGCAAAAGGGGGAATCGTTTTTATTTCTTAGATCCAAATAATCCCAGAGAACCTTTTTTTCTATTGATGGGTTATGACAGGGGTGGGCAATTCCATATCCTGAGGGCAGGTATCCTGCAACTTTTAGATCCATCCTTGGTCCAACACACCTGAATCGAATGGCTGAGTTGCCTCCTCAGCATGCAGGTAGTTCCTCTAGAGTCCTCTTAATTATCTAATTACTAGATTCAGGTGTGTCGAACCAAAGGCACATCTAAAAGTTGCAAGATACTGGCCCTTAGGAACTGGAATTGCCCACTCCTGCGTTATGATATATTTTCAGTTGGCTTTACATCAATTTATTCATAAAGAACAAATTCACAACACATAATCTCAAGGCACCTTAATGAGTCAATTTGGTATAATAATGCAAACAGATTGGTGTTTTTCCTCAATCTAAGGAAAACCAGCAGATTGCATCAAGTCAGTGAATTGCATAATAGTTGGCTTGAATTGTGCTGTTTGCTTTGCAGCGATTCCTTATAAGTAGCTATGCAGGTAGAAAAAATTTAAAGTGAAACTCTGCTTTAACAGGAAGAGAGCTCCAGCAGAACCAGGCTGGATGTGAATCTACCATGACCAACCACTATGAACTATCTTCGATACAGACTCTCAAAGTTTGGTGTGCTGCACCTTTTTATATATGTCTCTGCTTCAACACACCTGAATCAAATAATAAGAGCATTTAGAGAACTTGACTGAAACTGAGGTGCTAATCCAGCCATTTGATTCAGGTGTGGACCCAGAGACCATCTAATAGGTGCAGGACATCAGATCTCTAGGACTGTAATTGAGGACCCCTGCTATAGAGGATGCTGTTAAAAGCGATATGTGGCCTTATTTCAAATTTTTCAGTTTTTTCATCTTTAATAATTATAAAGGAATGTAAAAACAAATTTCTCCTTTCTGGAGATCTTTTGCACTGATCAGAGGTCTTGCTGTGAGTCGTGCTTATTGAAATTCATTTATGTTTAGCACTGCAGTGAGACCTAAGACGACAGCTGGGACAGTAGCGGACAGATTTTAGTAACCTGTGCAGACAAAGATTCTGTCTGAATGATGGGAAACCATAATGGCAAAGACACCTACAGCCCTACAGGTACAGGTAAGTTTGATCTGTTTTTTAATTATCCATCATTGGAGCAATATTTGTGCTGAGGCTCTGATAGGCAGTGATACAACATTACATTGTTACACTTCAAACACTTCATGTGACGAATCTTTCCTATTATTAATAATTTTTTTTGTATTTTATTTCAAAAAGTATATTAAAAACATATGGTTTGTGTTTATATTGTAAAAATAGAAGTAGTAGTTAATTTCTGATCAAAAGCTAGGTCTTTTAAAGTAGAGGTTGGCTGGTTCTGATCTCTTGGGCATCTTTAGACCATTTTATTGAAGAATGGCCAAACCTAGGCTGAAATTCTAAACACTATGTGATATAAATATTTGTGCAACACTGCTGAACCCAGAGCTTACAGTTTCTTCAAATTAAGCAGCCACCAGTCAAACTGAATAATTTGCTCAGTTTTAAAGATGTTTTTTCCCCACAGTTCTCAGGTAAGGTCAGTTTCAGATTACATTTGTCCTCAGAAATAATAATCCAATGCAGAATTAACTGAAGTTTTCCTCTTTATATGTAATGTTTACAAAATCCAGTGAATTTGAGAGAACCTTGTTCTCTATGTGAAACTGGGTGCACAAATAAACATGCATACAGTTTTTAATTTCCATTATAAAAAACCACAATTATTGATTTTTGGGCTGGTAGTGACAGAGACAAATGCTTAAGATGCATCATTTTAAAGCAGCTATTTATAGACTTTGTCCCATCTGTTTTCAGAGTAGAAAATTTGCATACAGATCAAAAGCAGCCTTCATAAGATTTCATACTGACCTGATTTAGCAGCCTAGTACCTTAAAACAGCATTACTCTCTACACTTTTTCTTGCCATTTTCTGCTGCATTACAATTATATAAATTCAACCAGAATGTCTTAGACATTTAACAAAGTACAGTTCAGTACCATTCATAAACAGGGTGATTCAAAGAGCTCTATTTAATTTAATTCAATTGAAAAATACTATTAATCCCAAAGGGAAATTAAATGTTTCAGTAACTTAGATGCTTTTTGTCTGTGTAAATTCTTAGTCATCCATATCATGACATCAAAAACTGGCTAAAAATGGAAGGCAACCGGACTGAAGATACACCTGGATTTTAACTTGAAGATGTTTCAACATCTATCCAGGACTTTTTTTCAGTTCGGTTGTCTCTTTACTTGACTTATAGATACAGTCATGTGAATGGAGGATGAGGCAGCACCATGTTCAGATTTGGCTAACAACAAACTCCTAGAAGCAGGAGTTAATGGCAGAGGAGGGCAGGATGTCCATGTGGCTGTGGGCTGGAGAGAAGGTTACCAATTTGTTCCTGAACTGAACCTTTTGAAGAATGTATTCAGTTCATTGGCTCTCTCCAGGCTTCAATCTGTCTGATCATTCTTCTACTTGAAGCTTGGGATCTTCTTTATCTGTGACCACACATCTCTGATGTTGTTCTGCTGGAGTTTGCTTTCCAGCCTCTTCCTGTATTCCTCCTTGCTTTCACCTGAATTTGCATCTGTATACTCATTCATTCCCTTTCACCCATCTTAAAGGTTTTTTTTTCTTCTTGTGATCCACGTAGGGCTGCAACTTTATTTTATAAATGGATTATTCTGTTAATTTTTTTTATCAATCGATTAATTATCTGATAGCCAAAGGTTCCTTAAAGAGAATTCTCTACGAAATTAAACCAGGTGAAACAAAAACTTTTTAAATCTTAAATAAAAAAAACAAAACAAAAAAAAAAAAATATATATATATATATATATATATATACATACACACACACACACACACACATACATACATACACACTCACCGGCCACTTTATTAGGTACCCCATGCTAGTAATGGGTTGGACCCCCTTTTGCCTTCAGAACTGCCTCAATTCTTCGTGGCATAGATTCAACAAGGTGCTGGAAGCATTCCTCAGGGAGTTTGGTCCATATTGACATGATGGCATCACACAGTTGCCGGAAATTTTGTCGGCTGCACATCCATGAT